GAATATAATTTAAATAAAAGATATATATATATATTAATAGAAGTTGAATCAACTATAGTATTACTTACCACCTAAGCCAATCCATTTGTACTGATCACTGTACAATGCACAAAGAGTGAAACATACAAATATCAAACAAGTTGTTAAAAATGCTGTTGGGATTATTGCAGGATTCACAACAATGGCAACATCAAGAAGTGGACCAAGACCTAAGCCTAAAACAAAATAAATTTTTTAAATGTTTGAATCCAATTATTTTAACATTTCATATTACAGTCTAAGTAAACTGATTTAAAATTAAAGAATAAGACAGGGATAAATGATGTAAAATTATCATCATTAATTAATTAAATTCAAAAATTCTTTATCAAACCACAAAAATTTTAATTAATAGATATCATTTTTTTGGAGTTTATGTTAAAAATGCATATTATCTTTAGATAAGGTATACAGTTAAGACAATTTTGTATATTGGTATATAAATATCTCAATTTACCATATAAATTATCCTCACAAAAGTACAGGATATTTTCATTGGATGGTCAAGCCAAATGCATCACCTCAAATGATGTGATGCATTTGATTTCATGATGGATGATTTTTAAGTGGCAGACAGCCAAGGCATCCAAGATCATGCAGTTTTCGTCATGTAGTATTGATACGGGCACGATATATTTTTAAAAAACATCAAAATCCTGTTTCTTTTACATTAACTTGAATAACTTATTTAAAAATTAAAAATCAGAACTTTATATGGAAAAATTACATTGCCAGAAATATAGAGAACTTAAAATTTAGGAGAAAAACATTTTCTTTATTAGTAAATTTTTTCAGATGAACTTTAGATATGAAAAAGTTGTATTCTATAGATTTTTTGCCATAATAAACATTTTTTTAAACTATAATCAAAAATATGTATTTATGTTTACATTTGGCTGATAAGTGATAAATGATACAAATTTTTATTGAAGGTTAGTTGCAAGTTGCAATTTTGCACAATAAAGTCACTTGATGTTCCTAATTTCAAGGTAAATTTAGTAATTATCTGTATTGAAGTCACAAACAAAATAAGTTGAAAATAAAAAATAGTGTAGTAAATTTCAAAGGCTAATTTATCTCATATTACAAGATTGAATTTTATAACTGATTTAATTTAAAATATTTAAAAGATTAGGTGTAATATTTTATGATTACTTCTAAATTTATAAACACAATTTCTTATAAAATCACTTTTAAAATTAAAAAATCACCTTCATGGAATGAAAGACAACACAAATGCAACTGTTAGAGTAACAATGTTGTTGATTTTTGGCTATCAGGTTGACATACATACAGGGTCATTGAAAAAAGAGTCTGTGATTAGGATTCAATTTGAAAAAATCAGACCTATAAATTCCCACTGTCATCCATCCATCTTTCCTTAATCTCAAGAACACAGATTAATGAAAGTCAAGACCAGATATGAAAATTGAGGCATCCTGTCCCTAAGGTTAACTATATATGAACTTCTGATGCAAACTGGAAGTCATGTTATTTCAATTCAAAACGTTTTCCCCATAAGCAGTTAACAGATGACTGGCACGACTCTATTGTTAAAGGAAAAGTATGATGTACAGGGGCATGCCACTATTAATTTGAGGTGGAAAGCATATATTTTAAATTAAATTAATTAAAAATATGATTAAAAATTTCAGCCCAGCATTGTGATAATGTCACAATAAATAATTACTCATTTCAATGTGAAATACCTTGGGTAATAATCAACCAATCTCTGACTGCTGCATTAAATTGTGTAAAAACAAAGGTTTCCATTTTAAATGTGTGCTATATATACTCATGCAGCATGTGCTACCCCATTACAATTGCATTATTTGAAACCACAATGTTAAGTTCCCTGATCACTGGATTTGAGCAGCAGTGTCCTATTTCCTAGTCAGCAAGAAGCACAATCTGACCCCTCTAGATTTTTTTTTATTTTGAGAGTCTATTAAGAAGATACCTTCTCTATGTAGACTTCATGATCTACAACACTTGAGACAGGATCAGTGCTGCTATAGTAACTGTCTCTCCTGAAATGAGTGTAAATATATAGGTAAAGACTGACTATTTGTTTAGGTGTTTGTCAAGTAACAAGGAGTGCTCACATTAAAACATACTACAAAAAGTACAAAGAAACTTTTTCTGTATCATATATAATAAAGTGCTTTGTTTTTAATTAAATGTGTTGTTATTTAATCATGAAATCCCAGACACCTTTTCTGATGACCTTGTATAAATGAACAATTATTGGTAACTAATAGATGATAAAAATTAATATCAATTGTCACAATATATACAGATCTATCATTTAAAATGCAAACAAAACATATAAAAAGATACAATTATTTAGTTTTCTTTTAAAATATTGAAATATATAAATACATAAAAGTAATAATATAATTTTATTAATACAGGTGATGCTCAGTTTACATAACAGTTATACAAAATATTATTACGAAAATGAAACTTTCACAGGNAGTCATTGTTTAATAAACACGTCTATGTAAATATGCGGTGTTGACTTTGCTCAATTAATTATTAACAGTTAGTGTGAGTGTCGGTAATATGCTGTAAATCAAAAATAAAACTAAAAAAAAGGAAGCAAAAATAATATATAAATACATATATATATTATGAATTGTTTCTGCACTTAGTGCTTATAATATATTTGATTCCTAAAGGAAATAAATGTATATTAATTATATTACTGTTACGGTTTTTTGTTGAAGAGATTGCATGTGTTTAATTATAATTAAAGATGTGGAAGGTCAAATTTCCACTTAGCAATTTTAAAAACATGGAAGTGTGTTGCAAAAGTTGCTCATCTGTGAAATAAATTAATTATTTAATAAATTTAAAGACAATTATATACATAATTATTTTTTTATTGTTTGATGTTAAAGAGGAAACACTGATTTTGTCAAAATGGTCTGGTTGCGGTTCCTATGCTGATGTATGGTAATGAGACGCAAGTGTGGCAGATTGCTGCATGCGAGATATTTGAGGCAAGTGTGTGGCGTGATGAGGATGGAATGAGCAAGGAATATGGTGAGCAAATCTGCTTTATGGTGATTTGGCTGTGTTGATAGAACAAATGGAAGAGGAATTACTCAAAACGAGTATATGGTATTTGAAAAGAGCAAAATTGAAGGCAACCGAGGTAATCCTGACTGGAACAGTCAACAAGCATTTGGAATGGAAGATTATGAGCACAAGAGGTGTACAGAAATGGAGGTGTTTAGAGGAATTTGGTGAACAAGCAAGAGATAGCACGAATAAGTGCAATTATTTGTTTATTGGGAATGGGAACAAAATATGTACTGTATGAACTTATGTATGTAGTTCATACTTTTAACATGCTGCACTACAAAATAATTGCAGCATATGTCAATTTGCAACAACAAGAGATTTATATCAAATATTTGAGAGATAATTGAATTTGTACAAAATATGGTATAGGCAGGATAAGCCTTGTCACCTTAGGCATTACAAAAAAAGCTGCTACACCCTAACAATGTAATATAAAACTGAAGTTAATCTGATACCACTATAAATATATATTTTTTAATCACACAGCCACTGTCACTTATAAGATGCAATGCAGCATATGTGCAAGACAGAGAAGTAGGCAAGTAATAAAATATAGTTAACAGATCAAGAAGACTTCATTTGTAAGCCATAGTATAATTTTATTTCATTCTGCTGCTGTTTCGTTTCCACAGACCGCTATCTACCAAGAGAATGATTTATCTATGGAGAACATGGATGTTTCATTACAAGAAGCTGATAAAAACAAAGTGCAAAGTTCATAAAATTGCATCTAAATGGCTAAATTTGAAAAGAAAACTTAGTTTTCAAAAAAATTTAATACAATTGGGCCAAATAAGTTTTTAGATTTAATGTTCCAAACTTAGGTTATGTCTTCCACACTGCAATGTCTTATAAGACAATCAAATATAGTAGCGAGGTTGAGGCCGTGAAAACATGTACATCAGATGTTCAGCTCTGCTTTCCTGTAAGCCTAGAAGTTTGACGATGGTGTTTGGAATGTCGAGCGTGATTCCACTGACTATCTTCTAGGCTTACAGGAAAATGGAGCTGAACATCTGATGTACACGTTTTCGTGTTTAAAACTTTGGCCTCAATCTCACCAATAACTATCAGGAGTAATCTTCACTTGAATTATGAATGGTGACAATGACTATTATTTTTAATTGGCATCAAATTGCAGTGTTGAGGCAAAATATATTTACATCATATAAGAAATCCTGCTCTGGCAAGCAATCAATATTAAAAAGAATTAGACAAATGTGCATTGAGATTCCTGCCCAAGGAAAAACGTTTTGGTAGAAATGAGTGAGTCTATACCTTACATCCAAAGTCAAAAGTTTATTGGTTAATTCTATTCTGATAAAATACAAATTGGTAGAGACAAATTTTACTTTTTATCTTAAATCCCAAAAAACAGAACTTTTCAATTAACAAAATTACATCTATCAAGAACATCAAATACCAATGTATCAATTTTGTCACCAATAGTAGATGAGCAAATTAAAAATTTTGGAAAGTTATTGCAACTGCTTCTAATCCTTCTTTCTCCTGCTGCTCTGCTCCTGAAAGAGGGAGAAAAAAAGGTAAGTTATGAATTAATAAGCAACAGTAAATGAAAAATATGAATAAGTAAACTATAAACTAATGTATAGCTTACCTTATCCATCAAGATTACTACCAGGAAACGGAACACATCTACGAAATCTATGAAGAACAACACGGAATGCCTAGAATAAACAAACATGGTATTTCACTTAATTTACATTTAACAATCAATAACATTAGATACAATTAAATTTGATTTACATAAAAAATAAGAATATAAATTTAATACATGGCCAAAAAAATCATTTAAAATAATCTTAGAAATATCAGTTTGGAACAGCATTCCTTTTTCTGACCATCACCTTTAATAAAAGTTTATGATTTTCTTTAGTCGCTTTCATCTTGCAAGTGAATCTTGGCCAACTGTATTGCCCTTGTACAACTTTATGATATTTGTGATACTACTTCATTTACATTTTTTCCATAAAATTGTAAGCAATTAAAACCTCTTGTTATCCAGCATCTTTTTATTTTATTGATTGTAAATGTATCTGCTAATAAATGTAATCTTGTTTACTATATAAAAGACCAATGTTATTAATCACATGTTCCTCATAAACTACATGACTAATTATGATCAATTTTCTTTAAACAATGTTTTAATACAGTAGAGCATCAATTAACCGTCACCTTGGTTAACCGACCGCATTCTAGTCGGCAAATTCAAATGTCTGCTAGTGATTTGGCTATGTCTTGGCTACTTAAATATTATTTTTACGTGTTTTAGCTGGCAACACTGGATCGACCATGAAAGGGAGCCAGTATTTAAACGAGGCTTAATTTTCAAATTTTTAACGATACAATAGCAACGATTATTATTTTTAAAAAAATTTGATAGGCTTAACATGGTGGAAAATTCAACACAAAATAGGTTAATAGCAATATACTAATTACATGGGATATAATAATATATTACACTAATAATGGATTTTTTCATACTTTTCGGTTATCCGACTTTTCAATTATCCGACCAACCCCTGTCCCCAATTGAGTCGGATAATCGATGCTCTACTGTATTTATATTTTTGTTGTTCATAATTTCATTAAAACACTTGCAGGGACACTTCCCTGGAGTTCTATATCATACTTCAATTTGTGTTTCATTATTTAGTAATAGAGAATTTTATGAATTGGGAGTCAATATAACAATTTAAATTGCAACTTTAAATTTATTTGAATCCAGAAAATGTTTTTAGACTGATTAAATGGTGCTCTGACTGGAACTTTTTATGTTACTATATAAGTGTAATTTACCTCTACTCATTAAATGAGCAATTCATTCAACTTGCTAAGTAACTACATTAACAAAACATCTTTAGTACTTTTGGAATGAAAAAAGTGTGCAAGAGCTGTTGACTCACCCTGTATATTGTTCAAAAATATTCAAATCTAACTGAAATGTTTCTAGGATTTTAAAGTCTAATTTATAAACAATATTTCCTAAAATATAAGCCTATTACGAAAATCTTATTCATAAATCTATCAAATTAAAAAAAAACTAACATTTAGTATCTATAAAATGAAATGTTGTTATACATACCAAATGAAGTCCTCTTCACCTCTGCGAAATTTCTCAACCACCACTTGAGTGTCATACAAAATAAAGGCGCACATCACTGCGAGTCCCAAATAGATGTAAATCTGCAAGTCAATTACTCATTTTAAAATATGAGAATTTTAATTTAAAAATATCTATAATAAATAACTTTATCCCAATTAAACAAACAAATTTAACAACTAGTGGAATATCTCTAAGTATCATACCTATATATATAAAAATGAGTGTGAGTGAGTGTGTGTGCGTGTCCTTCAAGCATTACCACGCCGTTTATCCGATTGCCATGAAACTTTGAGAAGTTGTTTAATATACTCTGTGTCCGGCATAGTACATTTATCCTACGACATATGGCATGATCCTACAACAGAGGTATACGAGCATTTCATCGTGAGATCAATGGATTTCAAATTGTGAAGACCATTTCCCCCTTCAAAAAATATCTCTATATATGCATTTGTGAACTGTTATTTACGATATCTGTAATAATTTTTGTTTAATCACTTTATTTCAACTATTTTTTGCTAATTATGTATTCACTTGAACTTTGTTAAAACCTTAACTGTATCCCGAACAACAACCGAAGTTGTAGGAGGAAATTCACCTATTTTACTGATCTAGGGATCCCCTTTTCCAAATTTTAATATCGACTTAAAATAATTTAAAAAGACAAATTACAATAAAACGGTTTATTATCCAACTATCAGAAATTTCACAACACGCCAAGGAAGAGAGAAAGGAGCAATTAAATAATTAAAATTATAAAGGATTAAAATATATATATAAAAATGGGGAATATCGCACTTCTGACAATCGCTGCAAGTGTGTGGGCTAAATTTGGAGAATCCGTGCTTCTCGCATGGCCAACTGTATGTGGCCATCTCACGCCTCGGAAAACCTTCTGATTTGTGTGTGTACACACCAGACGGAAAAACAAAAAATATCGTGAATCCACAAGCACTCCAATACATAAATGGAATTGTAACGACACTTTGAAATGTTTTCCCGATGAAAATGAATAATAATAAGTTTCAATAAAAAGGATAAAATGTAAATTGAATTTTATAATGAGTTTGCTTGAATTTCCTTTCTTCTGAAATCGCAGCAATGCACAACAGGTAAGCTAATCTTAAATATTTAACACACTTTAGAAATCAAAATACATTTATATTTGGAAAAACTCTAAATACCAAACTAAATTTCATTCATTTAAACTATTCACAAATGCTCAGTTTTTCCAATATGCAGTAATTTTAAACTAACATACAGCCACAAAAGTTATACCCACAGGTTATAAGTAGAATTTTGCAAACTGATATGATTTTGATTAACAGCTTTGTCATGTAGCATAATTAGCTGAAATAATATAAAAATGAACCAAAAAAAAATCTTTTTTACAAGAAAATATTCATTCGGATTTTGATAAATTTCAATTTAAAAAATTTTTTTTTTATTTTAGATTTAAAAACCAATTTCCCCTAAACAAACTAAAGTATCTCAAAACATTAATTATGGTATATTATCAAAAACAATATCATGATTATAAATTATTAATTGGCCAGTTTAAAATTATAACAATTTTTCCATTTTTCATTTCATAAATAACAGCAATCAAATCAGTTGAAAGATTTATTATGAAATATAGTACTGTATAATAAAATTGCAATTGATATTTTGTTTTATATGGACAGTATTGTCTTTAAATGTCATTGTTAAAGAAACAATAATGCTAAATGGAGATTCTTGGTATCAATGTTTATGTTAACTTCAATTAATACAACATAATCACGAATAAAATTCAGTATTGCAAAAATAAGAAAATGCTTATTTTACATCAGAAACACTTGCTGATGAAAGAATAGAGAGAGGATAGAGATTACATGACATGTATATCTGTTTAATAAAAGCCCATAATCTTTAGTACAGTAGAGCATCGATTATCCAAATACCAATCAACAGAAACACCGGTTAACCAAAAGCGTTCTAATCAGCAAATTCAAATTTCCGCTAGTGCTGTGGTGCTTCAATATTTGGCTATGTCTTGGGCTATTCCAATATTATTTTTGTTGATATGCATGTTTTAGCTAGCAGCACTGGTGTGACCATGAGAGGGTTCCTAAGGACATGCCAGTATTTGAANGTATTATTTAATGTTATTTGTTGGCAAATAATATATCAAATTGTTTGTATATAGAAAAAAAATTATAAATGTAATATATTTAATAAAAAGATGCGGCAAACAATCCAAAGTCCACTCGGCATGTCAATTTGTATTACATTAAATTTTGTGCTTATTTTTGGTCCACTTGCAATTTTGTTGGATTTTGGATAGTTTGTCCGTATGATTCGATTAAAATTGTACATTTTTACCTGATGCCGATGGCAGTTTACAGACACGTGACCCTAAGCTATAACACAGAGGCCCTTCCCCCAACCAAATATTGAAAGTGCAAGGACAACTGTTTACGGTTAAGCATGGGCCTACAAGCAAAGGTCTTATTTAAAAAATGAGTAAATCCAGGCCCTGCAAGTCTGTACTCGGATCAGGTAAAAATTGATCTACATCAAAATTATTTTGTATGGAAAATTGTTTGTAAATAAGATAATTTATCGAAAAGATGAGCGATGTTCAAGAGAGTGTATCTTAGATACAAAACGCTGTTAGACTGTTAAGTTTCGCGCATTAATTTTAATTTCATTGGAAAGTTTAATTGTAATTAAAAGGAAGAGGTTGGCTCGAGACCATTTAACTCAATTAGCATTATTATTATTAATTGATGTTGGGTTTCAATATGGGCGATAAATTGTTAAAAAGTCATTGTTTAATAAACACGTCTATGTAAATATGCGGTGTTGACTTTGCTCAATTAATTATTAACAGTTAGTGTGAGTGTCGGTAATATGCTGTAAATCAAAAATAAAACTAAAAAAAAGGAAGCAAAAATAATATATAAATACATAAAAGTAATAATATAATTTTATTAATACAGGTGATGCTCAGTTTACATAACAGTTATACAAAATATTATTACGAAAATGAAACTTTCACAGGAAATCATCTTCAAGACATTTATATTTTTTTTTTTTATATGGGAGGTATATTAACATGAATTTTTTCAAACAAATTAACATAAATTACTTCATAGCCTTTCATTTTAATTTGCAAGAGAAATGAAAAATTATCAACATTTATACTTATATTAGTATAATTTCAATTGAAAATTTATATAAATAGAACTCAAACTGAACATCACTAGTGTGTATGTATGGTATCTGTTAAGGAAGCTTAACCTTCATTTTACAATACATTAAAATTAAACTTCTTAAAGATTAACAAAAGTCAGCAATTTCATTAATAAAATCTAAAAGTATATATCTGAAATTGAAAGAAAATAAATAATACCTTAATTGAATTTCAGAATCAATATATATAAATAAATGAACAAACAAACCACACTTTTGATTCCATCCAAAAATAAATAAAATGTAAAATT